GTTATGACTTTTGTAAAAAGCTTGTATATGTGTGAGATGAGGCTGATTGGTCTATAGTTTACGAGATTTGTTAAATCTCCTTTCTTAAACATTAGAATGATCACTGCATTTTGCCATTGTGATGGTGTTGTTCCTCTTTCAAGGCATTCTGTGAAAAGTATGGAAAGCATTTGTATCAGTTTCTCGCCTCCTAATTTTATGGCTTCGGCAACGACCCCGTCGTCGCCAGGTGACTTATTATTTTTCATTTGTAGGAGAGCTTTTTTGATTTCATCAACAGTAACATCTGGTATGTCTTCCGAGCCCTGGTTTAGAACCTTTGGTATGTTGTCAGTTGGAACATTTTCTTCTGTTTTGCTGTAGAGTTCTCTGTAAAATTGTCCGACAGTTTGTAGAATTTCCTGTTTATCTGTTATTATTTCGCCCTTTGTGTTTTTCAGTTTGTAAATATTTTTCTTTTTTTTTCATGCTTTTTCATGCTGAAGATCTCTTGGACAGAGCACGTGGCCAACAACGAGGTGCTAAGAACAATGGGCAATGAGAGGGAACTCCTAAATATTGTAAAAATCAGAAAAACGAGTTATCTAGGACATATTTACAGAGGAGAAAAATACAACTTCCTACGACTTATAATGGAAGGGAAAGTGGAAGGAAGAAGAGGTCCATGAAGAAGAAAATGCTCCTGGTTGAAGAATGTAAGAGACTGGACAGGCATGGACACACATTCGATACTAGGAACAGCTCAAGATAGAGAGCAATTGGCTATAATGATAGCCAACCTTCAGTTATGGAGGAGGCACCTTAAGAAGAAGATATTTAGTTGGTTTCTATACAAGATTATTATTTTAAAAAATTAAATTTTTAATTCCTTAAAATTTTGTTGATCCCATTGTTTTGGCTGAGAATATGTAAACCTAAAAATATAATTTTAACCAATAGTAAGTTTATTTGCAATTTTGTTACTTTAAATAGATAGATAAAATATTTGGTCCCCTTTTTTCATTAATTTCATAATGGCTGTTGTATTCAATTCGGTCCGTAAATTCTCCCATAACGTCAAATTCCTTCTGAAAAAACTGAATCTTGCAGTTTATGGCCTCATTGCCTCTTCAAGCAAGTTCAAATGAGCAAAGGTGAAATAGTTATTTAAGCAAGTGTATTAATAAGGGCGATTAACAATTGAGATATTTTAACGCGTGAGCGGAGGAGCCCGTTAATGTTCGAAATTGTTAATCGCCATTTTAATTCACGAGTTCGTTACAAAACTTTTCCGTCGACCGTACTTTTCAGAAATAAAGATATCTTAGTTTAAATTTTTATTTACTTAACGATAAACAACAATTTTTTCAGCTTTCATTAACTTTATTCAAAGTTTAATTTTCCTTTTCCTTAATTACATATTATTATTGTAAACATTAATATTCGAAATAGTACAGTTACTGAAATTAAAGGAAGGTATTGATACAAGATTATCTGCCCTATAGCATTTTGACAAATTTATATTTAAGTCTTCTTGGACCTCTGTAAATTCTGTGATAGAAGAAGAAGCGGTGGTGCTGAAGGAAGTACTTTGACAAGGTTTAGTGTTATTTTGTCCCAAGAGTTTTTCAGCCGTCTCAAGTTTATTCTGCATAGAATTATCTATATAACCTTCTGCTACAGCAGCATCGAGCAAAAAGACAAAAGAGGGAATGTAAAGATAGTGGGGGCAAACATATTGTTAGACAGGAAGTGCGATCTTTAGAGGCCACATTAAACAAGGAAAGAAAGTCTCTTTCCTTGTTTGACATCAAATTTAGTTGGGTTATGTTAGTGTTTGTCCCAAATGTCACATGAAATCTAATTTATATTGAAGTTTTTTAACAATTGTGTCGCATTTTAGACTATTATCTAATAATTAATTAAAACTTTTTCGTCTAAGACACATTTTGAAAAATATTATATAGCTACTGTTGATAAGTGTCGGAAAATTTAAATTTGGCGAATTCGCATTTCCGGATATGTCCGCCATCAGAAGCACTTTTTTGTCCCTTTTCATAAGATTAGATTCCCTTTTTGTCTTTTTGTTCGATGTACAGCAGTCGATTTCCAGCCACCTAGTCTTTAATAGCTGAAAAGTCTACATCACTGTCACACAGTATTGAGGCAGAGAAACGTCTAAAACAATGTCCAATGTAGAGATGCGGGTACTCTAATTTTAAGAATTTGGCAATAACGGAAGGGATTTTGGAAAACGTATTTATGCCAACTGGCTGTGTGGAACATTTGTTATTTTTATAGAAAATGAAAAATCGTTTATGTGGTGTGTGTGCCGGTCTTAAAGAAATATGGTTTTTGATCGCATTGAGAATGGTATTTGCTTCGTTATCTCCTATGGTAAATATTCTATTTGTGTGTGAATAAATGAAGTAAATATAAACAAAAAGAGAAATCATACGATTTCTACCTGGCGAAATCGAATTTAAATATAAGCCGCCGTGCTCCCTAAAACTTGCGAAGCAAACAGCTTGATGAATGAATCGGCAAGGGAGTCTAAAAATTGCACTCCAAATGCCGTTCATCATGGCCTATATTCGTAGTGAATTCGATTTCTGGTACTCCAAATGAAGTAAATAAACAAAACAAAATGACGGTATTAGATTTTGATTTGATACAGAGCAGCAACAAGCCGCATATACGTATTTCGATCTCTTTAGATCTCCTCAGTACGGTATAGCTACTACTCCATATCAAACCAAAATATTTTCCCGTCGTAGATTATACTATTTACGGACGTAACTACGCCATCTAAGAACAAAAAGAGAAATCATACGATTTCTACCTGGCGAAGTCGAAAGAGATCGAAATACGTATATGCGGCTTGTTGCTGCTCTGTAACAAATCAAAATCTAATACCGTCATTTTGTTTTGATTATTTACTTCATTTGGAGTACCAGAAATCGAATTCACTACGAATATAGGCCATGATGAACGGCATTTGGAGTGCAATTTTTAGACTCCCTTGCCGATTCATTCATCAAGCTGTTTGCTTCGCAAGTTTTAGGGAGCACGGCGGCTTATATTTAAATTCGATTTCGTCAGGTAGAAATCGTATGATTTCTCTTTTTGTTGTTAGATGGCGTAGTTACGTCCGTAAATAGTTATTTTTAATAACTATAATCTACGACGGGAAAATATTTTGGTTTGATATGGAGTAGTAGCTATACCGTACTTAGGAGATCTAAATACGTATATGCGGCTTGTTGCTGCTCTGTATCAAATCAAAATCTAATACCGTCATTTTGTGAAGTAAATATACTTTTATTGTGACAAGAAACTTTGACCCCAAGTCTTGAACGTTATTTGTATCTAATTTCAATAGTCCTTCCTTTCTTAACGCACCAGCCACTCCGAAAATCAATGCAACCTACAAAATGAAATGTCACACAATGAAAATTAGATTCACGTCGTTAGAAGCATCAGAGATGCATTTGTGGACTTGTTCTTTTTCAAGTGTTTTTGATTTCTTTGGTACATAACCTGTTCTTTTTTCTTGATAAACATAATTAACTTATTATATTTAGATATATCAATGTTTGATTTTAAACTTAAGGTTGATTTTAGCATCGAATATTTGGGCCACAAACTTGCTATTAGTCCTTTTTCGACAATGTTTTAAAAATATGTCAACAATACAGATTCTGAATATCGTATTATTTTTCTCTCGTCACACCATGCAATAAATTCAGCGTATGTTTTTTCGTACAACACTCTGCTTTTTTCAGGCATTAAACTTAAAGATATTTCATTTGCAGTTTCTGCCACTTCTGGTGGAGTTAAATTAAACTCTTCGTCAATATCCATCTTTTGATTTTTCAAATACACAGAATTTTAAACAATAAAGTAAATAATGACATACAATGACAGATAGTACTAACAGCGGCTACTTCATTTAAAATTTTTTAGTGGGAATATAAATAGGTATATGTTTGGTTGCCTACACCACAGGTCACTGCCAATCACAGAGCGTTTAATTAATTTATGCAAGCAATGTATGTTGTGTTGCCTATAATAAAATTGTTCATTAATAGAAAATTATTCATTCAGGGGTCATTAATCAATATTTTTGAGGGTGTTAAAATTGATCATAAATTGATGTCCGACGGAAAATTTTTTTTATGCTCCATTGCGGGTTGACTTGTAAATTTGAATGATTTTTGTCTGCTCTCATAACATGTCTTCGGTGAATTTTTCGGTGGCTTTTGAACAGAGTTTTCTTTTTTCTTGAACAGTTTGAAGCTGCCTCCGCTTGGTATCTCTGGCCAATCTTGCATATTTAAAAGATATATCTATGAAAAGGGTCGATTTTTATGCCGTACTCCGTAAAATATTTTTCTTGTACAATTTTTGCTGTAGTCTTCGCCATTGCATTTTTTCATGTTAAAGGCATAATACTCGATAATTTGTGCTAGTTCCGTTACATGCGTTACATACATAGTTGTACATCTTACCAGCGTAAAATTTCTCACCCGTAGGACCTCCGAAAATTGGGTCCAAATAGAGCTTCTGAACATCTGCGTGTTCAATGGGACATTTTTCGAAACCAATTTTTTAATTTCTTCACGTAACTGGCATCCAAATCTTGATTTTTCGTCTGTATTTATTATATCTGTCCAAAATTGATTACGCCTGAATGAAGATTGTCAAACTGATAACAATAGAATTACCAGACACCTTCTGTGACTGGATCTGTCATAATTTTGTCGCTGAAAAATCACGGACAGGAAGGAGTTTTGTGTTGAGGAGTTACTATGACGTTTTATCAGTTAAAAACAATCTAGTGAAATAGTCAAATAAAAACAACGTCCTGAGATTGCTATCAGGAAAGCGACGCACCCACGACCGCGATTCCGGTCCTGTAAAATACCAAAAGACAAGACATATCGTGACATCCATTGATTGTATCAAAATGTTACGGTACAGAAAATTAAAAGTTCTGAAAGTACCAGTTTTCGAGTATCATTTCCTCAAAGCGGTTCTCACTTTTGACTGTTAATTTGCCAACAACCCATCTATAAGTGTGTTAACAATGAAGTTTACGGTTTTTTCGTGTTTTATTTGTTTGTTTTCAGTTTATTTCCGGTGTGGATTTGCGAGATTTGTGCTTCCCCCCGTGCCCGATGTTATCTATCCACCGGTGCCTGATATTGGTTAGTTTACAGGTATTTTTGTTTCAAATTTTTTAAAACAAAGGTTTTATTTTTAATCAAACTATAATTGGATTGTAATATAAGCCACAATAATTATTGTTGCACTACTATATCATTATTAGTAAATACATATTCTATCCAAAGTTCAAGGGAACATTTTAAATTATATCAGACAAAGAAAGAAACAGTAAAATGAGGAAATTTATTAAAAATGAAAGAAATATATTTGCATGAAACCAACTGGCAACAGAATATTTCAGAGAGGATTTTATATAGCAGAAAAAATTGCTATAAATATATTATTATTTCCTTATTCCTAAACCCCCGAAGGGAATATAGTGCATTTCTTTTGACTTATACATAGGTACTTTGCATACTCCTTAATTTGATCGATACAGTTTGTTGGAGATCTTCTTCGTCGGCCTTCTACTTTTCCTTGGATAATAAGTCTTTTCATGTTTTCTGTGTCTGCTTTCAGAACATGTCCAAAGCACCCGTCCAAAGTATTTTAATTGTTATAGATGAACTTTGCTGGATAACCGTTTGCTGACTTTTAGCTTATTTAAAATTGAAATATTTGTCATGTGGTCGGTCTACGAAATTATTAACATTCTTCTTCAACAGAACATTTCAGTTTCATCAAAAGGATACAAAGGGTCAATTCGATATCTAAGTTTTAATTTAAGTTGATGAGATTGTAAATAATAATATATTTGTATGCTTTTTATATTACGAGAAAGTCTTCGAAAGGGTTTCCGTTTCCCAAACGAATTCTGATTGTTCTCTTTAAAGTTTCGCAAAGTTTATTCACTATTAATGAAGTTTCCCAAACGAATTCTGATTGTCTTCGTTTAAGTTTCGCAAAGTTTATTCACTATTAATGAAAGATTTTTCCAAAGTTGGTATCTCATTTTGAAAATAAAATGATTGCACTATTTTTTAAATTTTTTATTTTATAATATCGCTGGGGTTTTCTGTCTATACTTAGGTGTACGTTTTCGGTGTTTCTGCACTAGTTCCATTCTGTCATTGTTTCAAAAGTCCATAACCGGTTGTTTGTCCAACTTTGGTAATGATTGAACACTTAAAACAGCATGATATGTAAATCTATTAGTCGAATTTTTCGTCAGCTGTCTTCTTTTATTTAGGAGCTCCTTAAAATTTGACTTAGTTTTCTTTATCGAATACGACTATCGATCAGCACCCATTTTCCGTTTCTTTTATTGCCTTTCTTATGCTACTATTTGCTTGTTCAATATCTTCTATTTCTTTTTCCAAATCTTGTATATGTCAGGTCAGTATATCTTCACACAGGTCGGTGTTTTCTGGGGGAATCGTGTTTTTAAGATCATGCCTTTGAATATATTTTTTATTCATTATGATACAATCCTTCTTATTTTTGACACTGCCACCTGGGCTTATTCATTTACGTTGAGAAAAAAAGAGTTCATCATGGATCAATTTTCCTGGTGTAAGAAGTTAAGTAGTCTTTGCCCTCGTTTATTTCTTTCGCCATATCTATACATGTCCATAGCTACTTCTGCATCATCTTATTAAAATCACATTTTAATATATCCAGTAATATGTTGATGTAGCATATAATGCTGCTTTTGGGTCCTCATAAAGTCCTCAAATAGCGGGTTCAGAACGCAGGTGGCGGCGTAAAGCTGCACGATAACGCAGCACGAACTGAAACTCGCGGCAGATAAAACCTAAGCCATTATTCTCAAGGAGAAAAGGAACAGGCAAAGTATGGAACTACAATGTGCGGAGGCATGTCTACTTGTACCTCTACTTGTACCCAAGAAACACGTTAAGTACCTGTGAGAGTGACGTTGCACCAGAACGGAAAATGGGGGAGCACGTGCGGAAGATGACAATGGCTGAGATGGGATGGAAGGCTGCGAATAGTGCACCTACAGGACTGTGTCTGCGGCAGCCTTGTGGACCATCACTGGATATGTTCCGCTGCATGTTTTGGCAGTGGTAAGAAAAAAGCTGCATGAGAGAAGAGACCTAAACTTTACTCTGGCCGAGAAAAAACAGGATAGAGAAAGGTCAATTAAAAGATGTCAAGAAGAATGGAACAACACGGTAAATGTGGCACAGTGGACAAATATGGTGATCGCGAATATAAGAGATTGGTTGGACTATGGCCACAGGCCACTGGATTATTATTTAACGCAGGTGTAAAAGGACACGGGTGTTGGCATAACTCTCTAGCTTTGAAAAGGCTGACATTCGACTATGTGATACATACGATGTTAGAATGCAACATATTGATGGTAGAAAGGAACAGAATGCAAAGAGAGATAGGTGTTAATTTTGTTACAGTGAAAGAAATGATTGAGAGAATGATTGAAAATAAAGCACGTTGGGTCAGTGTATACAAATATATCCATGATCAAGTAATCAAGTGATCAAGAAAAAGAAGAGAAAGATCGACAGCTGGGCCAACTGCAAAGAGAAGAGGGAAATATATTGGAAGGTGAAGGTAGAAAAGTAAGTCAGACTGTATGAGTCAGATTGTATGAGTTAGACTGTGTAAGTTAGACTGTGTGAGTTAGACTGTGTGAGTCAGACTGTAAGGAAGGAAGAAATGCCCGTCTGGGAGTTATGCCGTACTAGAAGCTATGAGAGTCTTCCACGAGTTACGCCATTCCTAAATAAAAAACCCGTTTTTGGGATCAAAAAAGGGACTCCTTGCTGACAGTCTGTGGATGAATGAAGGTAGTAGTGATGCCGGCCTTACAGTGGCCATTCCGCTTGTGAATCACTGGATCAAAGAGGATCTTTGCAATATTCATGCAGATCAATCACTGCAATCAGGCGGCGTCCTGGACTGAGACGTCTTTTAAATATTCCAGACCCATCTCTATAAAAACGAACAAAAAAAAAGGTCCTCATTAAGCCGTTGGACCATATGTCTGGATTAACTTAAGGTTATATATTATCTTGCATTAAGTTTGAAAATGAGGTACACAATTCTCGGGCTTATGCTGTTAATTTTTACTGTATTATGTGTGTGCTTTCTATGTATAATAAATCCTTCTTCACCATTTGTAGTATCTTCTCCTCTAAAATGAAATATGTGTTCTGATTTAAGCGTAATTTGTGGTTCTCATCTTCGTCTTATTTCGCTGAGGCTGATGATCTCCCATTTTATTATTCTCAGCTCTTCCTCCAGTTACAACATCTTCTGATCTGATATAAGATTTCTCACATGATATGAAGTAATATGCATTTGTCGGTCTTTGTGGTAACTTGATCTTTTCCGAAGATCATTAGCACCTTCTACTCCCAACCTGATCCAACCGCTACCTTGGTAGGGGGTGTTGGAGCCACCGGATACTAAGGGCCCTTCAATAGTTGTCTTTGGTGGACAATTACTTTTTTTAGAGTTTTTTTTTAGCCATTAAAACGCCACGCATGACTACTGCGTATTGACGAGATGGTTTGGATCTGGAGAGAGAAAAGGGTGGAGATGGGGATCATTTTTATTTGGACATGGTTTTCCCGTCAATGGGAAGCATAAGTTCATGTGGGCAGGTTTGCTATTCTTGAAGTATACACTTCAATTCTACATTGTCTAAATTTAGGTATAAACAAGAATAAACAACGTATTTATATACCATTGTACATAAATATTATGAATTTATATACAATGGTATTTTATATACGACATATGTGAACGCCAAAACCCGAGTTCACGAAATGTTATTTTGAGGGCTCAAACACTGTGTACATTAGCATCAGAATGATCATAGATGCCAACGGAAAAAAGAAAGGTTGCAAACATCTCATTAGAATATTAAAGGAATTTCTTGCTGGCTCTAAAATTAGTAAAAATTAAAAAAATATATCGGGGACACATCATTTATATTTAAACAATTTAAAAATACCAGCGATGCGAAATGAAATAGATTTTTTTGTCGAGTAAACAACTGGTGATAAGATAACGAAAATTGCAATTTCAAAACATTTTTGAGTAGGCTAAAGATAATAAAAGACTTACATATATTAATATTTATTTTTAGTATCAAAACATACAAATGAAAAAATTTAATAAACCAAAAACATATAAAAATAAAAAAAAACCAATTTTTGAGAAGAATTTTGATTGGTTTTTTCTTTATCTTATAGTTACCAATATTTATTTTTTAGTGTCCAATTCTGCATTGAAAATTAAATATAAATAAATCTTTCAATATATAAATATTAGTCAGACCGTTATTTAAAACAGTTAATTTTATATCACAATAATCTGCATATATAACATGCTGTAGTGCATCCAATGTGTTTGCTTATTTGCATAAAATTTTGTGCCATTCTACGAACATCCGGGTCTAAAGATTTTATTTCGTTAACGGTACAGATCATTTTTAATATAACACATAAATTTATTGCACTAATCATTTTAGTCCGTTATTTGCCTTGTATTACCGAGTTAAAAATTTTGGTGAATGAAAAATATTAGCTAATAATTGGTGCAGAGTTTTGCATCATCATCGTTTTTTTCCTATTCTGAGGTGTATTATCTCTTTATCTCTGTTTTGTTTATAAGTTATTGTGTGTCCAGGTTGATGTCGATATCTATTCTTCGTAGTTTTGCATTTCACTTTTTATTCTTTTGTTTTCATATTTGTATGTCTATGACTGTAAGAAATAACAGTCTACTGTCTTTAAAGGACACGATCTCTTCGGATTAGTGCAACACACAGTAATTCTTACGTCGGTTTCTCGGAAGATCACTTCAAGCATGCTTCTGAGAATCTTTCAATCCAGATTTTCTAGTGCATGGCCTATCTTGGGTAAAGCCAAATTCTTGATGTCATAACTGCACACGATTTTCTCCAAATTAGTTAGAGCATGTTGTGTAGAAATGTTGTTCATTCTTAACTTCAGGCGGTCGACATAATATTCGCTTGCAACATGTTCTTCGGAAGGTCTACAGCCAAACTCTAAGTTGCAGGGCAAACGAACTTCACGACCTAACATCAGGCGGGTTGGAGTCTGGCCTGTAGTTTTATTCACAGCCGAGCAGTAGGCCATTAGAAATAAATGAATGTGCTGATCCCAATCTCTTTGAAGTTCTGATACAACTTTGGACAGGTATTTACCCATCGTTCGGTTCGTCCTCCCGACCATTCCATCTGATTACAGATATAGCGGTGTCGTTCTGGTGTTATTGACACCAATCAATTTACAAAAGTTTTGGAAAAGGGTTCATTCTAAGTATCGTCCTTGGTCACAGTGGATCTCTAAGAGAACACCAAATAGGCTAAAGAATACTTTAACAAGTACCTCTGCAACGGTAGCAGCTTCTTGGTTTGATATCTCATAGGCCTCAGTCCATTTCGTAAAATAATTAATGGCTACCAGGATATATTTATTTCCATCATTCATATCTGGAAGTGAACCTGCAATGTCGATTGCTACTCTTTCCATAGGACTACCAACATTGTACTGTTTCATGGGTGCCCTCTTTTTACCAACTATACCATTATTGGTTGCACACAGATCACATTTTCGGCACCATCGTCTTACATCACCTTTACAGTTCACCCAATAGAACCATTCTCAAACCTTTTGCAGAGTCTTCGTAATACCAAAGTGTCTATCTGATGCACCGTCATGCAACTGACGCAATACTTCTGACACTTTACTTTTAGTTACAATCAACTGAAGCTTAGATTCTGTACCATCATCGTTCTCAAAGGTTCTATACAGAAGATTATCTTTTAACACTAGGCAATTCCATTGGCTCCAGTAAGACTTGGCTACATACACTAATGTCTTGCCAAGTAGATATCTCACTTCAATGCATCCAATCCAATATTCTTTTTATACCTGGATCATCTGCTTGGGCGTCTTGTAGCTGTTGAGGCTGCCATTGATCATTAATGATAGTAGTTCGTCTCACAGGGCAAAGTCGTTCTCCTAATTTAAGACAGTGATTACAATTTGCACTGTATGGTCGTCTTGACTAAGTATCAGCATTTGAATGACTTTTCCCAACCCGGTGTCCGATCTGTTCTAGCTTTCTGACTGTTGTATTATTTTCCTGTTGGACTAAGTTGGACAAAAAAATTGCTTGAGTGGAGACCAGGGCTGACAAGCGAAGCCGAGGAAGACCCCCAACGCGATGGACCGACGACCTCAAAAGAATCGTGACCAATTGGATAGCAGAGGCGCAGAACAGAAGCAGATGGAAAAATCTAGAGGAGGCCTATGTTCAACAATGGACATCTCCTCTTTCCTCCTCTCTACGAACTACTTTCCATACGATTTCATCCAGACGTTTATCGTTTTGTTTGTTGCTCTCTTCAGAGGTTCGTACTCTACAGCTCCGTGAAGCTCGACTAGCTGTTTTGTGTTTCAAGGCAATGGCGAGCGCTTTATCTAAAACTTCTTGCAAATTCTCACTTGCTCATTGAATTTAACTTCTTATTTATAAGTTGTAGACTTGTTGTAGATGGGCATCTCCGTAACGTTTGTCTAGTCGAGTGAACAAGGTCTGGTAACATTTTTCTTGACCATTAGGAATTGATTTTAGGATATACGCAGCATTACCTTGTAAAGCAGCAATCAAGGAAACAGCTTTTTCTTGTTCTGTCCAATAACTGGCTGTCGAAATAGCTTCAAATTGTCTAAGGTAGCAAGACTTTCCATTAAATGGTGGCAATTTGAATTTCATATGATGTGTCGTTTCTTGTCTACGTTATTCTTCTTTCACTATAGGATCTAAAACTACTGCATTAACTAGTTGTAGTACTTTCGTATTAGTTATCATGCTCTCTACCTCTTTGACCTTGTCTTCTACCTTATCGAATATTCTAGAAACATTTTCGAATTTCTCGTCGTTTTTTCTAGCTGCTTGTTTAATAATTTGAGGCATTTAATCGAATCTTTTATTATTTTTTCCCAGAAGTTTCTTTAATCATTTGAGAAATATTTTCAAATTTATTATCATTTTTTCTAGAAGCTTTTTCGATCATTTGAGAAACATTTACAAATCTCTCATCCATTTTTGTTAAAACTGTTTCTTCTGCTGATTGAAACTGGAATGTCTCTGGGTCATCTCCATTCTTTTTGAGCACATTGTTCAGTCGTGTTTGGAGGATCTTCTTGGACCCGCTACAGTCTTCATTGCGTTCTTCTAGTTGCTCACGCAACTGTTTTACTGAAAGTTCTGCAAGCCGCATCTTTGGTCAGGCACACACGTACTTTTATAAATGTTCTTTCGTACAAAGATCTCTACCGAACCAAATATCTTTTTCAAAAGTCACTGCTGAATTTATTTTTAAATATATCAATTAACCCCACACCTGACACCAACTGTACCGTTTTTAAATAAAACGAGCGGTTCTAATTTATGTAGATATATTTATTTATAAGTTTTGCAGTTCATCTGGTCAAACTATTGTATTTTTATTAATCTCTTGCAGTGCTTGAACAACTTCCTTTTATATGAGTTTTTCACGATTGCCATTACTGTCTCTGCAATACTCTCTTTCAGAGTCTTTCTTTAATAAATTATCTAAATATTTCTTCCAGCACCTTTTTTCATAATTTTAGTATACTATATCCTACATAATTTGCTCTAGGTGCTCTCGTATACACTTACAGAAATGTATACATCGTATACATTTTTACAGTCTTCTACTTTAGCATTTAATTCAAACTTTTAGATTGATCTAACAACAGATTATTTTTAGATTAGGATCATTGCTAGATTATCATAAGATATGTTGTATACAATTTATATTCTTGGTACGCCTATTTCGTTTTTAATTTCGAACAAACTTGTGGATGTGTAGCCTTCTTGCAATAATCTTTTTGTGGTCCTGGTTTAACTTTCTGGATTAAATATACCACCTCAAGTATTTTTACATACTTATTTTTAATGACATGTGTATTTTAAATTTATTTATAAAAATCTTTTTTAGTCGCCAAGATGAATGATACACATCTAGAAGAGGAACATATGGACCCGGAACTATCACCAGGACTTTTCCAAGGAGATATGGCACTCACCAACGAATTCTATAATTACTGGAGGGTTGGACTGAAATTTGAAATATTTCCTGATAAATTGTGGAGAAATGGAATTGTCCCTTACACAATTAGTCCGTTATATGGTGAGTTTCTTGTTTATTAATTATGTGGTAAGACAACTGAGCTTCTGAAATTAAAGATTTATTAAAACATGTTCTATTTACATTATTTATACACATTTTCACTGAATTAAAGAAACGACATTAGATGTCACCAAATCACAATTGAACATTCCTAACCAAAAACAAAATGTTTGGTTTTTAAATATAAAGATGACAACAGAGTCTGTGGCCAATGTTCTAGCTGATATGCTCGGTAGAGCGAGGCAATATTTGAATGATGAAATTGAAATTTCATTACATTCCTCTTTCTAGAAGAGAAAATATTCATGTTTTCAAAGTTTGATAATCGTCTTCATCTTCTCCAATTTTTCTGTAATTTCATAGGGTCCTAATTTCAATTCGTCAAGTTTTTTTCTGTTTAATTTGTTTCCATTTTCCACAAATATCAAATCACTTATGTTAAAATCGAAATGTTTACGGTTTTTGTCATAAATTTGTTTATTATAATTAGGAGATATTACCGTTATATCTAAAGCAATATTTCAGAAAAAGATCCAATCTTTTTCAGAAGTTAATTTTTTAGTTCAATTCGCAACGTTGCAATATTTTTGCCGTACATGAAGTATGATGGTGCAAAACAAAAGAAATTTGTTTCTAGAAAATAAAGGATTTTTCAAATAAAAAATACTTTTCTGTTATTTACAGACAAGGAATATGTGGCTTGAACTTCTCCAAAAGCAATTTAAAAAAATCAGAATTATTATTTTTGTAAAGGTTTTTCAAATTTTGTGGAGAAATAAATAATGTATATAAATTCCTGTTCCTGCAGATAACAATATCAGTGAAGAAGTTAAGAGAAGAATACATATCGCTAATAAAACATATAATGGAATAATTAAACATCTAAGATCTAACAACATCACAAGAAAAACCAAATGCAAAATATACAAGACCTTGATAAAACCGGTCCCTGCCTATGGATCAGAGAAGTTTACACTATCGAAAAGCGATGCGAACCTATTAGGTACACTTGAACGAAAAATCCTTAGACACATATATAAGTTTGAACTATACACAGACTACAATGAACCCGAGATCATAACATCCATAAGGATCGGACGTCTGCGCTGGATGGGCCATGTTGAACGGATGTTGGAGACTGAAACGCCAAAACATATAATGAGGCAAACACCAGTAGGGAGAAAGTCAAAGGGAAGACCCAAACTTAGATACATGGAACAAGTGGAACAAGATCTGAAAACACTTAAGATTACCAACTGGAAAAACAAAGCAAAGAACAGAACAGAATGGCGGAAAATCCTAGAACAAGCCAGGACCCAGAAAGGGTTGTCGAGCTACTGATGATGATGATGAAGCTCCTGTTCCTAATGTTAAAATCTGAATTCGACAAACACGGACTATTCTTAGAAGATGTGGACACTTACCATACCTCTTTGACTATGGAACTCTTGTGATTTATCGATACAATTCACGCAAGTCGCTAACGGAGGCACTATTATATATACATAGAAAATAGCCCTCTTAGTATCCCAACAGAAATTGATTTTAACTATGTACTGCCAAATCGCTGACTTAATTCACAGAGATGAATATTTTCAAAAATTCAGCACCGTCGGCCAATCTGCCAGTTGTAACTTTAGTAGCCTCGATACGTCATCGGTAGGTGGCGCTTCCACTCCTAGAATCTATGTAAATCCCCAAGACTTGAGAATAGGCAAAGAAGACGGTCAGAACAGAGATGAAAATACTTCGACGAATATCAGGAAAGGTCTGTTGGATAGGGAGAGAAGCGAAAACATAAGAAGAGCATGCAATATAGAAATTTCCAAACAAAACGGAAACAGGAATGGAGACGAACACATTAGTATAATGGCAGAGGATATGATAGTACGAAGAGCAGTAGATAAGTCACCAAATGGACGAAGAAGTATTGGCAGACCAAGAAAAAGATGGTGCGATAATTTAAATAATTTAAGAGGCTAATATTAAAGAAGAAACAGGCTTTAAAGCCTACTTATTAGAAGGAAAAGCAATCAAAGATATGTAAATGAGCTAAGTGTTGTTGTTAACTTCTTCTTGTTCTTCTTAGCCTTCTGTCGTCCATGTTTGGACATAGGCCTCTCCCAACTCCTTCCATCGGTCTCTATCCTGAGCAACATATTTCCAATTTGTTCCGGCTATTCTTTTAATGTCATCAACCCATCTCATCTGTGGTCTTCCTCTTGGTCGTTTACTTTCGTAAGGTCTCCAATGTTGTATTGTAGTATTCCAACGTTGGTCTTTCTGTCTAGCAGTGTGGCCCGCGAAGCTCCATTTAAGTTTTGCAATTTTTATTGTTATGTCCTCGACTTTTGTTTTGGATCTTACCCAGTCGTTCCTCTTTTTATCTGACAGTCGTATACCTAACATTGCTCTTTCCATTGTTCTTTCTGTTGTGGCTAGTTTATTCATGTTTGCCTTGGTTAGGGTCCAGGTTTGACATCCATATGTCATGATAGGAAGGATGCATTGGTTGAACACTTTGCTCCTCAAGTATTGGGGTATTTTGCGGTTCTTAAGTATCCAACTAAGTTTTCCAAATCCTGTCCATGCTAGTCTTGCTCTTCTAGTAATTTCCGCACTTTGGTTCTCTTTGTCAAGTCTCAGGATTTGGCCTAGGTAGATATATTCCTGGATTTGTTCTATCTCACTGCCGTTTATAGTTATATGTCTGGGGTCTTCTGTGTTTGTCATTATTTTTGTTTTTTTTTCATATTCATTTTTAGGCCGACGTATTGGGAGCTGGCTGCTAGTTCCTCCAACATAATTTGCAGTTCCTCGAATGTGCTCGCTATAATTACTATGTTGTCAGCGAATCTGAGGTAGTTTAACTTGTTGCCATTAACGTTAATGTTAATGTTGTCAACATAGCAAATGCTAAACTGAATAGATCTGTTTAAAAAAAAATATGTGAAACGGTGATTCGGTGCAAATGCACAGAAAAAGAGGAATAAAAAAGAAGTTTAGTTTTTTGAATGTTTAAGAGCAGCTCATTGGTTTGAACCAGCTCTTCGAAATGACTTATGTACGCCAGAAGATATTCGTCAATTTCTTTTTTTTGCTATGTACGTCACTATTTTTGTTCTTGTGGTTAATAATGTCAACATTTTTGTTAATTTACACGTATTTCTTATAATTTTCAGAACCATCTGAACAAGTTACCATTTTAAAAGCCATAAAAATCATAAACTTTATGACGTGTATAAAGTTCGTACCGTGGGACGGAAGAAGTAAGGATTATCTTCTAATTTGGCCCATGAAGTATCCCAAAGGGTGTTGGTCCTTTGTAGGACGCTTTGGTAAGTTTTTATATTTTAGTTAATATTGGCAAATTCAAAACGTACTACAGATTATATTAAAAACGCGTAATGAAAGGCTATCGCTCGATTTTAAGATAATATAATAATCAGTCTACAAAATAATATTAGTAATATTGCTTTCCTTAACTTTTATTCCAAAAAGTTAGATGTCGAAGCATTTAAGGTATTCATTCGAGGAGCTAACCAATAAAACCTTTAACGTAAAAGAAAATGGCTAAATTTCTAGGACTTTCAGACAAACTAATGGCATTCCCCAAGGGTGGGTATTGAGTCCTACACTGTTTATACTTGTTTTAAACGATATATGCAAAAAAACTTGAGCTTCTAGTCAAGTTTGAACTCTACACAGATGATTTAATAATTTTCAAGTTGCCACTTGCAAACTGCTTCAGAATACTACTTTCCAATTGCTTAAATGGACTTCAGTAAGCGATTTATCCATTAGTAACACATTAAGTACGACACAGTACCATAAAGCTATAACTGTTACTTGTCTACCAGCAGTAAAGAGTAGACGGATTTTAGAACTCACATTCGACAGTAATCTTACTTGGAAATGGCATTTAGAAGTGGAAATTGAAACGTCAATAAACGTATTTTTATCTTTAATTGTGGCTTATTCCCAGTTTAACAGTAATTAATTAGGCATTTAGAAGATCTCAAAACTAAGTGCATGACAAATTTTAACATATTAAAAACTCTGTCCAATCATCATTAGGGTACAGACGAAGAATCCTTATTAAAACTTATTAATTTTGTACACAATACTGAAAGACAACACGCAGAAAGTTTATACAGAGAAGCTAATAAAGTTCCCCTCTGGCTACGTCGCCGGCAACTCCGTTTAAAATATGTCTCAATCTCATCTAATACCGAAAATCCAGACTATAACTTATCTAAGTAATGACCTTTTAAACTCTCCTTCTCCTATTAAACTTCAATCTATGCCACAGTATCTCTCACCACAGCTAAATAACATCGATCTTTCAGCCACAAATCCAATATTAATATCACCTGAAACCTTCCTGGAATAAATTGAAAGCAGATTTTAATCTCTCGTTAACTACTTATGATAAGCATCAAACAAATCCACAATTTCTAAGGCAAACCTTTAAAGAATTAATTGCTAACAACAGATTTGACCAAATTGTATACACAGATGCTTCTAAGAGTCCTATAGCTCTTGGATGTGCTATAACTTCAAACACAGATTTAATCATATCTTGTAATCTCCCGCTCTTCTGCTGCATACATACTGCTGAATTATTATCTATTCTTTAAGCTACAAACTTACTATCACCAGAATATAAAAAAGTAGCAATATGTACAGACTCTTTAGCAGTCTATCTACTCTCTCAAAAGTATGTACACGGTACATCCTTTGATTCAAGCTATTCAAAATTCTTTCGATAGTTTAATCTCATTGGAAGTATCCATAACCATGATCTGGATTCCGTTTCATGTAGAAATCTTTGGTAACGAACTAGCCGACTTCTTTGCAAAACAAGTCGCGTCTTCTAATATGGAGACTGAAAACATACAACTACATACAGACTTAAACTCGTATTTCAAAAATATTATCAAAATGTCTGCAAATCACTGATATTCATTGCACCGTTAAAAGCTTTCCACCGTTTCCTTCCATAACACGAAAAAACAAAATCTTAATTCGCCGACTTAGAATCGGCCATACAAGACTAACTCATAAACATTTAATGACTTCCAAGATCCACCTACATGTACACACTGTGGTAACATTCTATCTGTTAAACATATTCTTGTAGACTGTCCCTATTTCAACAATAGAAAAATAATCTTTTGAGTCGAAACCTACAAAATATTCTCAGCTCGCCAGATCAATTCCAAAACCTTATTAATTTTCTCTATGAAACCAGACTTTACCAGGAAATTTAGAAGAAGAAACGTAGTTTAGAATTTGATAATTAATAATTGTACCAATATTTAATGTATTTCTTTATCGATTGTAATGTTACTGTATATTCTTGTAATGTAATGTAATAAAATTGTACCTGTGTCAGCGACCTACACTGTCGGTACACATAAAGCTAAAAAAAAATGACAAAAAATCTTAGTGATCAAATGATTCGTCGGTTTAAAAGGCAATTGTAACTTTAGAAACTGCTACACGAAAGACTTCTCCGGATGAATGGTCAAATATTTAAAATAATAGCAATATGAAATGTCTGGAAACAAAATCAGGGACAATCTTTTTGCTTTATTTCAGGTCGCTATAGCTTCCACTGTGGAGTGTTCATTATTACAGCCCTGTGATGCTTGAGAGTCTTCAGACATTAATTCAATATATTGGTTGCGTTGCTTATGTAGTCATCCTTTTCCAAGTTAGCTGTATCTATTCCAACGTGCCTGTACCAAACTGGTTACGACCAATAAGTTAGAAATACAACATTTTTTACATATGTTTAAGGTTTTTTGTACAAACGAAAAGAAACACAAAAAGTTTTTTGTTTTAGGTGGAGCGCAAATTTTGAGTCTTCAGCCACCAGACAGAAAAGGTGTCAACTGTCTTGGAACTGAGGGTAGGGCTATCCACGAGTTAATGCATGCCTTGGGAGTGTTTCACGAACAGAGTAGGTGGGATAGGGACAAATTCGTCAAGATACACACTGATAATATTATACCTCGTAAGTTGCTTTCTTTTTTACTTAAAGAATTATCTATTTTGTCAAAGAAAAAATATGTGTGTTTTCATATTTCCAATTTGTAATCAAAAATTTGTTGCTGTGAATATCAGAATATTATTTTAGTGATAATATTAGTAAAACTTTTATAATCTTCTGCTACATAAAACAGTTATTCTGCATTTCATGTATGATATTTTTAATTTACATTACACTTTAATATAACTAACTCATATATTATTAATTTTCTTTTAGATTACAAAGCAAATTTTGATAAACAGAGTTTAGAGAACACGACATACAGCTTCGAATACGACTATGACTCCATCATGCACTATGGAAAATTCTTCTTTGCCAAGAAGAAAGGAAGGCCAACCATTACAACCAAGCAGCCACATGGCGCCGGTATAGGTCAAAGGAAAGCCATGTCCAAGGGGGATTGTCTAAAATTAAATGATTTATACGGATGCTACAAAGATCCTTCAAAAAGGAGGAAATATTATAATATTTGTAATTTCTTAGGTGTATAAATCCACTAGTGGTTCTAAACTGAAGCAGCATTATTATTTATTCTATTTATGTATTTTTATTTTAATTGTATTTATAAATAAACCTTTGAAAACAACAATAGTCTTTGATGTTTTTTGACTTGAATATGGAATGGGCGTCATTTTTTTTATTTGTTTGTTTTAAAAGTAAACATATCTTCTTATCAAATTAGATATCGTTAAATCTGTCTAGAAATTTAAGTAAGGATTGACGAACATTTGCGATGGAACTATTTTTGGGGGAGTAAATATTTAGAGGCTAATAAATTTCTGGGCAGTCAGAAATGTTTAAGGATTTATGGAGATGCCTGTCAGCTTTTAGGACATTCTGAATAGTTTCAATGCTCTATAAAGGACTTAAGGATAGTCTGAAATGTTTCTGAGTAGCCGAAAATTTCAGCGTAACTTAAAGACTCTGGGATCTTTAAGGTATTTTTCTCTGTGTTAGTCCAAGGATCTGGGCTGGCTCCAGGGAGCTCTAAAGAAATTGAGGAAAGCCTGGAATATTTCAGCGATTTCTTAATTATTTAAAGCCAGCCTTGAAATGCTTCAAAACTATTGTGTGTCAACTGGATAACTTGAGAGCAACCTGATTTGTTTCATATCTATTTGTATTCATATTTAAACGGTTTCTTAATATCATTAGCTTGTCTGAGATTATAGGATATTCACGGAGCTTATGAAAAGCTTTAGGAAAGCCCAAAATATTTCACGAGTTTGTTTCAGGTCTTTAAACGATTCAGGTACCTTACTTGTTTACCCTTAACTTATTTATAAGCAATTGAGAGAATTAAAATACCCTACAATGTTCAAGTACTGTTAAATGCGCTTTTGAAAACTTTTAGGAACTTTTGGATAATTTGGGGCCAATGTAATATTTCACAGGCAATAAAAGGACTCTCGAACAACTTGATAGCCTGAAAATTTGTAAGGATCTGTCATGTATTCAAAAAGATTTTGGAATACACCAGGTTTATTTTGAAACATTTTAGATGGTTTTGGAGAACTTGGAAAGGCTGTATAATTTATTTTATAGTTACTTAGAATATTTGGCCTTTGGACATCAACAGTCTTTTCAGAGTAACCTGGAAGTTTCTATGGATTACTTAATGACTTCAATACTTCAACAAAAGCCTGAAATATGTTAGTTATCTTCCGGAGCATGTTTCAAGGGCCACAAGCAGATTCGACAGAAGCCTGAAATCGTTCATCGGCTTCCGAAGATTCCAGATCAGATTTGAATATTTTATGATGACGTAAAATGTTTCCTTTAAAGGATTATAAAAAGGCTAAAGTAACCGACATCATGGGGAAAATAGCGACATTGAGATGGCAATGTAGCAAGACAAGACACCAACAGATGGTCTCATAAAGTGACATTCTGAAGACCTCGAGAAACAAAAAGAAGCGTGGGAAGACCTAAAAAGAGATGGATAGACGATATAACTGCTGTAGCTGGAAAGCAGTGAATGAGAATTGCAAAAGATAGGGAAGCGTGGAAGCAATTGGAGGAGGCCTATGTCCAACATTGGATAAATGAAGGCTGAAGAAGAAGAAAAGGCTTAGAATTTCTTAGAACTGTATAGAAATATATTTTCAAGCAGTTCTTTTAAGTACTTGAGTGATGGATGTCAGGTAACTTCAACTTTCAGGATTTAAAATATTTCAGTGTTTCTGGAAGTCGACAATATATCAGAACTGTTCTAGAATCTTTTCTTCACCTTCTTCACGCTAAACCGCATAGTTTTCGAAATATTTGCGGAAAACGTAAAAAAACTATCAGGTCTCTAAAGCAGCATGTTCTTCTAACTCAGCGTTCGACTTAAGGACATTTAAGCGACAAAACTTCTGGAATAATTGAGAAGTTGATGGAGAGCAGTCTGAAATGTTTAGATGCATATTGCGACATTTAGGAATATATTAAATGATCAGATATGATCTCGATTTTTTTTAACAAGACTTTAATTCTGCATGGATTAATTCAAGAATATTCTGGAAAGTTACAGAGATTTCCGAAGGATATTAGGACATCTAGAACATTTCTAGGCTATTGACAAGTCTCGATACAATTATATAAGCAACATAATATAAAATGTCATATAATTTTGAAAGAAATATTTCCCAAAGTTTGCTCAATATTTTCGGTAATATTATTACTATGGCTTTCTCAATATCATTATCAACATCTCCTAATTGCCATATTGATTAGCTTTTTTCCAGTTCTCTAGAGTGACTTTTGCGATGCATACAATAATTTTTGTAGATCTCTGCCTGCTTTTCTTAAATTCAGTTACTTGAACGCGTTTTCTGATATTGATCAAACTTTATACGTAGAATTAAAACAAAATGGACGAAAGCGATGATATCGGTAGTAGTTACATTAAAAAGAATATGAGATCAAAAAATACTGCTGTAATTGGTATTCAAGAACCAAAAAGAACAACTTTGTATGACATCGTTTGTTATAATTTTGATTTAATTGGCAGGGTAAGAACGTTTGCACAACATATTTTACAAAATCCGAAGATTATTTTTGTGATAAAATACGTTTATGTATTTATACATTAAAAAAATAGTTTACTGTCTTTTTTACATCTTAATGAAATATCAGTGGCATTACTTACTTTATAATGACAATTAAATTCTTTGAATATATGAAATTTGTACACCGTCGCATCATTGCAATATGTACTATTATAATTTATAATAAATAATCGTTTGTAGACCACGTTTATACACCGATTTATTTATGGCGGTTTTCACAATTGCGGCGAGACAGCTCAAGCTGAATGTTTAATTGGCCGGTTCTCTGATATTGTCAATCAAACAAACAGAGCTAACAATATCCACGAGCACCTGACAGGATTTCTGGTGGTCACCCCAAAGTATTTCATACATATGATAGAGGTATTGTAGATTCATTGTCTGCTATACATTCAAAATAATGGGATTTTGTTTCTGTTTTTAGGGAGACGAAGAAGCTATATATTATCATTTGAAATTGTTGTTAGATGCTACAGATTATCAGGAGCTGTTGAACAATGTGAAGGTTTTTACGTTGCTGACGCATGTGAATAGGGTAAATATATAAAAAAACATGACATGCATATTATCTTTTCTTTCTTGTTTTTTACTTACTGCACATTTGGTCAGATCCTTTTTTTGCACCATGTTTTCCTGTAACGAATATCACCTCTTGGAAATCATCGACTATTTGGTTTATTTTGGTTGTCGTGTTTTTCTCTATATTAATGCTATGCTTACTGAGTTGTACAGCCTGAGACAAAGTGAGCTGCCCAAGATAAATGATAAATTTCTCATCTAATGAGGGAAAACGACGTCAACAAAAGTGTCAACAAAAAATTCGTTCTTGGAGGAGAAACATTTGTTAACATCTGTTTTATTAGAAAATGATTATCCTTTATCGTTTACAAATAAGGAATTTTCAACAATCGATCGAACAGAACAACTTAGAACGAGATCCTACAACATACACAAGGAATAATACGAAGAAAATAACAATACCGTACATAAAAGGATTATCAGAAAAACTTAGGAAATAAATTCAACATTTCAACAACATTCAAAACAACAAACACGTTGAGATCTATTTTGTCCAAAACCAAATCTAACAATGAACAAGAAAGGACAAAGAATTGCATTTATAAAATACCTTGTGAATGCGATCAGTTTTATTTAGGTGAAACATCAATGCCATTAAATGTTAGAATAAGTGAACATCAATCTTATAATAAAAATAGAGAATTTGATAGATCTCAAATATGTAAACACGCATGGGATAATGAACATAGGGTTCAATGGAATAATTCAAATGTAGTCCTAAAAGAAACGGATGGTAAAAAAAAATCAAAGAAGCGGCTCTAATTATGCTAAATGCGGCCAATTGTGTCGCAAATTCCTCGGCAGAATGCAGTAGGATCTGGTTACCAATATTGAAAGAGGAAATTATTAATAAGAAAATACCATAGTCCAAATATGTCGGGATAGTATTATGAGATTTTTTCCCTGGTTTTTCCCTCATAATTTACTATGGAATCACTAACAGGAGAATTTTACTGTCATGTCATGTGTTTGTCTTTTTAAAGACGAATTACATGCTATGATTTTTTTCTGACGGATATTCTCATCTAACAAAAAACAAAATTTGTTTAATATACTGTTTGTATTTTGAGAACGATTTCCGAAATGGAACTTGAAACGTCAATACACGTATTTTTATCTTTAATTGTGGCTTATTCCCAGTTAAATAATAATTAATTCATTATACACTTTTGCAAAATCACTAAAAAATAAAGAAATAAAGGAATATAAAGCAGTTTTACTTTTTCCAGTGTCACGTCCAGCTTTTGACCAGAATAGTAATCTGGTGCTATACCATTGATGTAGATTTTTTGCCCATGAGGTCCCTCTTCTACCTCGATCACAGAAAAGAAAGAGTAGTGCCATTCTTCTTATCCTTATATGAAGGAAGAAGAAGAAAAATATTATTATTATAAACAAAATATTATAATTTTCTGTTCCTAATCATGTTTAACAATTTTAGTTCGCTTATTCATTGGGTTTATACCATAAAACATAAAACCTATTAAATATAAAATACCTATTATTGGTATTACTGGAAGATTTTACTGTTAATTAATTCTAAATATATATTGAACAGTAAGGGCAAAAGTACACAACCTTGGCGTACTCGCGTTAAGATTAGGGTTCTTGTTTTTTGGCGATCTAGTGGCTTGCCACAGTTTCCTGAATTTTATTTTCTGGATTATTTTCTCTCTTATAGATATCGAAGTGTATTTACTCTTCTTTTTATTCTTGCTGGATGTTGTTGAGTCCCAGGCAGCTTGTTGTATGACTGAGTTAAAGTGTTCGACAGCATGTTATATCTCTTCGTTGGTCTTTAGGGGAATGTTTAGTTGGAGTCTCTTCTCCACTAGATGTTTAAAGATGTTCCAATTTGTTTTTCGGTTATGTAATACATTTGATGTTTCCTCTGTGAAGAATTTTTATTTAGTGTTATAATAAATGGCGGATGATCGGAAGATAGTTCAGAATATGACTTAGTATGCATATAGTTCTTGTTAATTAGTTTAGTTATGACAAAGTATAGAAGATCGGGAGTTTTCTTTAAGTCGCTTGGTCAGTTCGTTGGTTCTCGTGTTGTTACTACTTTTAGATTATTGTTGTTTATTTCTTTGTATAGCTATCTTCCTCGGGTCGTACCTATCTAAACGAACGAATCTGTTATAGAACCCCAACTCTGACACTTGGCATTATAGTCAAGTATAGGAATAAAACAATAAACGCTTCTCTCGTAATATTCATCTTGAGAAAGCGTAGGGTATAGGGTATTTTAAGGAGCTCTGCTCCTTAATCTTATCTTTTGGTAATCATCATGGCTACGGCTATTCTGACCTTCGAGGCAGCTGCTCTAAACAATTGCCTTGAGCTGCAACCAAACCACTCTCTCAGGTTCTTCAATCAGGAAATGCGCCTTCTTCCTACGCTTCTCCTACCCTCTATTTTTCCTTGAGTTATGAGTCTCAAGATGTTGAATCTTTCGGCTCTCATTACATTATTATTATTACATTTCGGTACCTGATAAAAAAGGGATTTACGGTGAGCAGTTGTGTGTAAATTATGCTCTTATTAATGTCATCTGTGTTGGATAAAAACTACAGGGTAAAATTTCCTGGTGTTTAATCTTAATGTATGCTGATGATGATGGTGGGGGTGTTAGTACAAAATATGAAAGCGTAATAGAAAAGAGTAGAAAAGTGAAAAGTAAAATAAACGTTTTAAAACGTCTGATTATGAGCATTAAATAATTTTAACCCATTTCTTCGTTAACTTTATGTTTTAGCGATTAATAAATGACTGGGGATATTACTGTGGACTTCCACCACAGCTATTTACCAACTTGGTTGCTGATAAAGACGAAATATATCGAATAACACTGGCCTGTGTTCTAAAATTATACTCCCTAAGTAATTTTGTGGCTACAGATCCTTTATTTTCTACAATAAGTGCTAAAGCAGACACGAAAGTGCTTCAAAAACTTCCAGAACGTCAAGAGGAGAAGGTAGTAAGTGATTTTAAATGATTATTAAATTTAAGAGCACGTCATTTATTATATGGAATTTTTTTAAAGTTTGTACAATTTTAAATATATCACATGCCGACAAAATTTGACCCATATTTGCACCCAGAGATTAGAATATAGTTCTCAGAAGGTTCTTGTGCGCTGAATCCAAATCTGAGCAATAAATTGTCGAATTGGCTCTGATTTCTGATATATTCTAAGCTAAAAAAGCAAAAATAGCAGGTTTCGGTTGTTTTTGAGGTTATGTAGCACCATAATATAATTTTTCCCCGAAAATCTTAAAAACCATTTTAAAGTATAGATCTCAATGTTTTAAATGGCCTTTAGTTTACTCAGATATCTTCTTATTTAGATAAAATGAATAAAAATATTTAGATAAAATGAATTGCTACTTGCATCTTCGTCTAATGGGCCAGGTTTATCGACCTCGTAACATTCTCATTAGTCATTTAGCTCACGTGGTTGATAAATCTGACAAATTAGAAAGAGATGCAGAGACTGCTTTGCGTCAGTTTCCTCTGTCACACTGGAGAGCGGGCTGGTATTACAACAATTAGTCTATCTTGTATTATATGTTTATGCAACAAGCCGGGGTAACATAACCTCAAAAATGGCCAAGAACCGCTGTTTTTGCACATTTATGTTATGATATCTCAGAAACCAGAGTCAATTTGATAATTTAGAGCTCAGATTCGGATTCAGCGCACAAAAAACCTTCGGAACAGTATAGCCCCAGGCTTGGTGGCTTGTGAATTAAAGCTGGGCGAGATTGAAAGGAAAAAGAAAATTTTTGGCGGTAGTAAATCTGGATTTTCTAAAGTGCATATTTAACGAGAAATGCAATCGCTGTTTGTAATTTTATAGAGAAGATTGTTGTTGGTTATGGAAGTGGATATTTACTGGGAATCTTTTTAGATTTCTCAAAAGCATTTAAGAGTTTACACTACTCGGTGAAACTTGATTAATTAAACAAATGCTATATTAGAAATAAAAAAAAAACTTAAAAAAACTGTATCTCACACGACAAAATCGAAAATAGACTTAAACAACCTGTGAACAAAAGTTGAAAATCAACTGAGTCAGTACGGTCTACCATATGACACTTTTATCTTAATAAAATAACAAGAACATCGACAAAATAATGGCTGATATGTTTGGGCAAAATTGTAGCTGCTGCTTTACAGCGCCAGTCAGTGACGTGGTGTAAAAGATAAAAAAATGGCAGATTGTATGCAGGAAATCACATGTGACCAAATGCTTAAAGATGAAAATTAAAGGTCAATTTGAAGGTTCCTACAACTGAATAGTAATAAACCGATATAATGCAGTACAAGATTCTTAAATGTAACGAAGATCTTTGATATTTTATCTGTAACTTTGGTGATCTTTTATCTGTTGACCCTGAATTCAATAGGGTTTTTCCTTGGACCAAGAGGACAACATATGTACATGTGACTCTTCTTCAAGATATATTGCACAGACAAAACAGGCAATGACACCTTTTTATGAAAGATCTGTCGAATCATTAATATTCAGTTTGTAATGTTTCAGCCACCAAGTAGCAGTGATGTTACGTTGGAGAAAACTCATCCTGGATTCCAGTATATATTGTCGCCTGGAAGCGGCAGGAAAACAAGCACCGCATTAGCAGAAACACTTATTTCTTATCTTCCAGAAGACGAGATGTTGGGTTATATTTTATCTTCAGATTGGCCTATGGACATTGAAGAATACTTTAAAATTGCTAGGGAAGTTCCACAGATATATAGAGGTATGTACAACAGTTTGCAAGCATATATTTAAACGTTTTTAGTAAATACGTCTGACACATTTTCTTGTAATAATTACATCTTAAATACTTTTTCTTCTCTTAGATTTATGCAATTTATATATTGTATTTTTAGATTTCACTTGGCCAGTACCAGAAGATTTTATCCCGTTTGATGTTTTTGATACAACTTATGACAGAATAACAGCTTTGCCCAAACCAGATGCTGATGCAAAAACTAAATCAGAAAGTACGGAAATCGATGTGGAAGGAGCAGGAGAATTGGGTGAATTACTTGAGGCAGTACATATTGAAAACAATGAAATAAAATAAACAACTTGACACTATTAGTATTATGTATTATTTTTAGTAATCATTCAACTTTGATTAGAGTTTGATCAATGCACATGCCTGCCCAACTGATGACAAACCAGAGGAAATAAAAGAACAGTTCTTCGAAGACCTAGAGCAAGCTTACAGAAGATGTTCCAGAAATGATATTAAGATAGTATTAGGTGACATGAATGCAAAAATAGGACAAGAGCAAGTTTCATACCCACGATAGAAAAGCATAGCCTACGCAACATCAGTAGAGATAGTGGATTAAGACTGATAAACTGCTGCTGCTAGCACTAAATATGACAGTCGCTAGCACCTATTTTGAACACATGAACATCATTGTAGTGTATGCACCAACATCTGATAGCACAGAGGAAGAAGTAAACAGCTTCTACAATGACTTAAACAAAACATTCAATGAAACTAAAAAAGAAGAAATAAATTTGATTTTAGGTGACTTCAACTCGAAGGTAGGGAAAGCAGAGATGGAGAAGTAGTAGGAGAACACGGACTGGGAACACGTAATGAAAGAGGTGAAAGACTAATATAGTTTTGCAAAGATAACGAACTCATTATCAAAAACACGTGGTATAAACTTCCAAATCGAAGAATATTTACATGAAAAGCACCTAGAGATGATGAACCAAGAGGAAGAAATGGGTCACCAATCAGCAAAGACGAAATTGAGAAAGCGCTAAAACGTATAAAAAATGGGAAAGCCATGGCACCAGATGAAATACCTACAGAAATCTTAAGAATATTAACAAAAAGTCATATGGACACACTAATAGAATTATTTAATGACATTTATTATATGGGAGAGATCCCGAAAGAATGGTTAATATCAATATTCATTCCAATACCCCAAAAAATCAAACGCAATGAAGTGTGAAGAGCACAGGACAATTAGTTTGATGAATCATATTCTAAAGTTTTCTTACGAGTGATACACGAACGTATCTATAAAAAGCTAGATGATAGAATAGCTGAAAACCAATTGGGATTCAGAAAAGGCTTTGGCACCAGAGAAGCATTATTTACTGTACAAACACTAATCGAACGATGTCGAGATGTCAATTGCTGACGTATTCATATGTCTAGTCGACTTCGAAAAAGCTTTCGACAAAGTACAACACCGAAGAATGGCAAAAATACTGCAGAACACAGAATTAGATGACGAAGACGTGAGAATCATTGCCAATCTATACCGATATCAGAAAGCCATAATACGAATAGACCAACAAAAATCGAAAGAAATACCTATAAATCGTGGAGTAAGACAAGGATGTGTGCTTTCCCCTTTACTTTTTAATATGTATTCAGAAGAATTGTTTAAAGAGGCATTAGAAGACGTAAATGAAGGCATATTTATTAACGGAGCATTTCTGAATAATCTTAGATCTTGGTTGATTGCATTACCCAATACTGAGAAAGGTTTGGAATGGCACTGAATACAAATAAAACAAAAATCATGGTGGTAAGCAAGAACAAGATTGAGGAAGACAGTGTTTATGTTAAAGGAAAACTTTTAGGCAGGGTCCACAGATATCAGTACTTAGGTTGCGAACTAAATGAAGAATGGGATAGAAGTAAGGAAATAAAACGGCGTATTGAGATAGCTAGAAAAGTGCTTTTAATAAGATGAAAGCAATATTATGCAATGGAAAACTCAACATTGAAATTAGAACTAGAGTATTGAGATGCTACGTGTTCTCTGTCCTGTTGTATGGAGTTGAGGCCTGGACAATTACAGAGGCGACAGAGAAAAGACTCATTAACTTTGAAATGTGGTGTTATCGAAGAATGTGGAAAATATATTGGACACAACACATAACAAATGCGGAAACGCTACGAAGAATGAAAAAAGATAAAGAAATACCCAACACTATAAAGAAAAGAAAAATCATCTAGAAAACTGGGTTTAACATGGGTTTACCAACAAAATGAAGTATATGAAAATATAACACATGCCAATAGATGCTATTTTTTGCTCAATCTCTACAAAACAATAATGCGCCCAGTCCTAACATACGCTCAGTGCTTTAGAGACCTGAACGCCAACAAAAAATAATGAAAACATGTTTCGAAAAAAAAATACTAAGGAGAATCTATGGAGCAGTGAATGACAACTTCGAACTTTATAGAATATACCAGAAACCAGATGAATAAAGGACCTCTGAGGTGAATAGGGCATGTAATGCTAGAAAAACTCTCCTTGATAGACCCATTGGTCAGAGAAGAAGAGGAAGACCCAGAACAAGGTTCCTTGATAACATCGACAAAGACATTGTTCTGAATCTATTTTCTTGTGGCATTGTAAATTAATTACTATTAAACTGGGAATAAGCCACAATTAAAGATAAAAATACGTTTATTGACGTTTCAATTTCCACTTCGGAAATCGTTCTCAAAATACAAACAGTAATTTACTGTTTGTATTTGTCACGTTTTCATCAATGTTGAATTCTTCTTTTTCCAATAATAATTTCTGTGCCACAATCTTTTGGTGTTCCACAAATTTTCTTACCAAAAAATGCTGTTTCCAATAAGTTAGCTGGTTAATTAAGAGTAACTCAACGGGCCATGGAGAGGGCCCCGTTAAATATAAGCCTCAGAGACAAAATTCCTAACACCGAAATACGTCGAAGAACTAAAGTAACCGACATCATGGGAAAAATAGCGACATTGAGATAGCAATGGGCAGCACATGGAGCAAGACAAGACACCAACAGATGGTCTAATAAAGTGACATTCTGGAGACCTCGAGAAACAAAAAGAAGCGTAGGAAGACCCAAAAAGAGATGGATAGACGATATAACAGCTGTAGCTGGAAAACAGTGGATGAGAATTGCAAAAGATAGGGAAACGTGGAAACAATTGGAGGAGGCCTATGTCCAACAATAAATAAATGAAGGCTGAAGAAGAAGTTAACAGTTTGGAGTTAAAGTTGTAATTTCAATCTTATTTTCTATCTTATTTTCAAGCCTATATTTGTCATGGAATAAAGGAGAAAAATTTATTTATATAATCCAATAACCCTGCACAGCGCTTATTAGTGAGACTAATCAATTTCCCGGTACAGCTATTCTCTATCACCCTGTATGCGAATATGTATACATTTGAACTAAGTAAATCACTCATGCGCCCTATTCGCTTCCAGAATTTCCGTCCAAAGATACCTACGACGACGTGATCGTAACGCGTAGCGCATTTCTATAAGTTTAAAAAAATTCACACCCACACCGTATCGTAATATTCGTGTGGAATCGTACTCGTATTATTTGACACGCGTTCAAATCCACGCTCATCATAGTCCCATCCGCAAGCGATTCAGAGAGACCCCAAAACGAAAATTTCCAGATGCAGCTTCGCCTATTGGTTTTATTAATAGTGATTCCGATATAATTGGGTTTTCAAGTGCTAAATTTGCGGTAAGTACAGAAAAAATATTTTTTATTTGCTTTTTAATAAAAATTGTCAGTTTATTGCTTCTACTAAATATTAAATATATTATTCGTCTATAATGTATATGGAAAGTAAAATATACTGCCAGACAGTGCAATATTCGCTCCAGTTAAAAGTACTTATATTTCATGCTAATGCATAAATGAATGAACCTCAAATATTTCCAATCAAAACTGATCTAATAATCAGGTCTGATTCAAGGTTTGACTTCTATATCGTTTTCCGTCCATTTGGATCAAGTTTTTAATCCAGTACCATAACGTTTTTAAAAACAATTCACATCAATATTTTTGTAGGAAATATTGGTTCAGTACTAGCAAATTAAGTTAGTTTCTTAGTTGCTTCTAGGCTTCTATATAAATGAGGTATCTTTCTTTCTAAATGGAGGTTGTCTGTTTTATCTTCTAAGCTAATCCAGCCTACAGCATCATTGCTGAATATAGTGCTCCTGATGTTTCCATCCTCATCTGCACGTGGCTCTAATCCAGACTTCAAATTCATCGTGTTGGTATTCACTTTTGTCTACGTGGCTTTCACTGCAATAACCTTTTTATCCACAAATTTTCTGTCAGTTTCAAAGCTGTCATCTCTATTTTCTTTATGACTTTAATTCTTCTTCTTATTTCTTTATTTTTTATTTGAATTTTAAAGTTATTGTCAGATCGTTCAATTTTTTTGCATTTGAAATTTTTATTAGGGCGTGGGACTAAATTATATTCGATTTGAAAATGCATAACAACACAGTTTTATGACAGAAAGTTACCACTTCCTGTAGAAAAATGGGACTTCCAATTACCTGAGAACTGCAAATCCTATTATTCTATTTCCATTGTCATGGGTGAGATTTTCTTCACTTGGTTCCACTGCTTTTTTCTTTATATGATGTATGTATATATTGTAGAACCACTCCTGACCATCTCATTTATGGCCTTCCTCTTTTTTGTTTGTAACTATATAATTTCCAGTGTATAATCATTTTATTCCATCTGTCGTCTTTCTGTCTTATGGTATGGTCAGCGAACTTCCACTTAAGTTTTGTATTTCTTTTCTTGTCTGATAGCCTAATGTTCAGCATTTGCCTCTCCATGGCTCTTTGGGTCTTTGCTATTTTTTTCCATGGTTTCCTTTGTAAACGTTCAAGTTTGAGAACCGTAGGTGGAAAGAGGAAGTATACTTTGGTTGAAGACTCTTATTTTTAAATATTGGGATTATTTATTAGATTATAAGAGCATACAATAGAAGAATATATTATAGAAGATATAAATGAACGGATGACAAAACGGAAACAGGAGTAGAACGAACACATTAGTAGAATGGCAGAGGATAGGATAGTGCTAATAGCACGAGATAAGTCACCAAGTGGACGAAGAAGTATTGGCAGACCAAGAAAAAGATGGTGCAATAATTTAAATAATTTAGGAGGCTTAAGCAGAAACAGGCTTTAAA